AGAGTGGCGGAAACGGACTTCCATATTAATGGCAATACTGCAGAGAGCTGTAAATATAAGCCTAACATATAGTAGAAACTACCCAGTGTTTATTACATGAAAAACAACAAGCATTCCTTCTTTATCTCCTGATTCTGTAAAACATACAGTTAGGGTAAGATTTTACTGCTGGACTATCTGGCTTTGCTTTCCTATCCCATAACACATCAATGTTTGCAAGAATTTAAGTTGGTTTGAAATTGCCCTAAATTATAAAACAGAAAAGAGCTTCTAAAACCTGATTAGTTCCTCATTTGACCGGGAAAATCTTTTTAAGTTACTCTATGGAAGTGGACCACAAGCAAAACCACACACTTTCAGCTGAAACAATTATCTAATGGAAACCATGCATTTGTTTGTTCTTGCAATATTATATGGTACAAATTTGCTGCAGTATAAAACATGAATATTTTCTACTGCCACATAGTTATTAATTACTTTACAAACAACATAACAAATCTGCAGTATTTCTTACATACCTGCTGCAAGATGGCGTCCTGTGATTCTTCCAGGTCCAATGAGGAAGCTGATGTGGACAAAGTGATTTTCACCAGCTTCCTCTCTATTGGCTGCACGTTAGATAAGCCTAAAGGGAAAAGAAATATGGAATTATTAGGAAATCACAATTGAGTTACAGACTCAATAGTCAGTAAAAGAAACAAAACATCTCAGCATGTGATTAAGTACAATATATTTCAAAGCACTGTTTAATAACTGCTATGGTACTATTCATAAACAACATGCCATTTCAATTTTACATTCCTGTATTTATTTCTGCCAACCACCTGTAAGTTTACTTCTCTCTGTGTAGCACCTCATCATCAAAAAGTATTCTTCGTAGATGTAAAACACTAATTAAAAATGAAGCATTTCCTGATTCTAAGACCTTCCATGTTGTTTTCTGGCATGTTTAACTCACCACTACAGATGAAAGGATACTTGTTGGAGCAGGGTCTAATATTCCACACGCCGCTTCCTGTAGTCACACATGAGTTTTCCACATCTACTCTTTGACTGGGATTCCATTTGCTGAATGAAGTCATCTTCAGGCGCTGACCGTCTGACCACCTCCAAGACTCACTGTACAAGCCGATCCATGCAAAATTGTCCATCAGGAGCTGTTCGATGGCGTCATTCTCAGATTGATTTCTCACACTGGCCAGATCTGTGTGGTTAGCCCTGCAGTACTTTTGAGCATCGGTCCAATTCATGTCTTTATTCACATAGACATATTTTGAACCTGAATCTTAAAAAAATACAAAATAAAAAAAAATTAACAAGCAAACAGTTGAGCTGTTGAGCTGTCCCTGAAATACCCTGAATATAAATTAGATTAAATGTTGAAATATGAACTACAACCAGTAGTGGCTGTGCAATAGAGGGCGCTAGGGGGCCACCCCACCCACCCAATGACCATGATTAAGACATATAAGAATTATATGTATATATACATATTTTATTTTTTTATAATTTGATTTTAAATTAACATTTAAAATATTTCAAAATATATTAATATGTATTTCTTAGATGTGCAAGATACATATTTAATCTTTAATGACTAGTAAAGCACCATTCATATTTTCGTCAGATTGGTGACGTATTTCCACCCTAGGGCATAATAATCTTTGCCCATTGACTCTCGTTAAAAGTTGTGCATGCGCAGTAGCTCCTCTGCAATACAAAGGTATAGGAGAGCTTTGGGCGCAGCAGCATAGACATATATACAGAGTAGACCCCGCATTGATGGTAGCGGCGCAGAAATTATGGCGGCCATCTTGGTGCGTTTGAACTTCTACCCTATCCCGCTGGTTTAAACTGATCAGAAGAAGGATGCCTCAGCACTGTGCGGTGTTTTTGTGTTTGAATCGACGGACTTTTGACATCAGGCCTCGAGGGATAACTTTCCACAAGTTTGGCATCACATTGCCAAAGTCACCACTCTTGAACTCCAGAAGGGGAACACAAGAAAAGAAAGCTCTACAAAAC